AGGAGGAGGAGGAGGAGGAGGAGGAGGAGGAGGAGGAGGAGATTGGATTTATACTCCGCCCTTCACTACCCAATGGTGTCTCAGAGCGGCTTACAAACTCCTTTCCTTTCCCCTCCCCACAACAGACACCCTGTGAGGTAGGTGAGGCTGAGAGAACTCTAACAGAACTATGGCTTGCCCAAGGTCATCCAGCCAGGTGCAAGTGGAGGAGTGGGGAATCAAACCCGGTTCTCCCAGATTAGAGTCCATGCACTTAACCACTATACCAAACTGGTATAGCCTTGGAATGACTATTATATGGACGTTGGGTAGAGTCTTGATGGGGCCTTGCTGCCATGAACTGTCAACCTAATTTGTTTATGTACTATTTCTTTCCTGTCTTTTGCCATAAACTCCTGTGTAGGCACAGGGATCGTCCAAAGGACACTGTGGCAACAGGTGACGTGGTGAAAGGAAATACAATGACATTGCTCCAGCCAGGTTTCCAGTTGTGGGGTAACTAGATGTCTGTATAAGTGTGCCGCCAAGTTGCAGCCAACTTATGGCCACCCTGGCAAGGGGCTTTCAAGGCAAGTGCGAAGCAGAGGTGGCTTGCCATTGCCTTCTTCTGAACGGCCTTTCGTAGTCTCCCATCTAAGCTTAGCTTCCAAGGTCTGACAAGATCAGACTGTACCACACCATTCCACATTCTGAGGTAACTTTAGGGAACTCAAATTCTCAGAAGTCAAACTCCCACATCCAATAAGTAGCAGTATTCCACTTCCTCCAGTACAAAAAGGTTGGCCATAAGAAGTGTTACAGACGCATAGTGAATGGTACTGTGATCAGTGTTCCCCCTAAGCTGAGTTAGAGTGAGCTAGCTCACAGTTTTTTAGCCTCCGGCTCACGCATTTTTGTCTCCGCTCAGGGAGGATGGCTCCAGAGCAAACTAATTTATGCAGTAGCCAAATTGTTTGCTCACAACTTTAATGCCAGTAGCTCACAAAGTAGAATTTTTGCTCACAAGACTTCACAGCTTAGAGGGAACACTGACTGTGATATGTAATTTCCTCCACAAAAATTTAAAATCACCACAAGGTGATCATTTTTCTATACAGTTTCCCCCCCCCTTCAGAGGCCATGCACTCTCCCTGCTTTTCCAAGAGCCAAACTGCATATGATACTGAGGATCTGTCATTCAGCCTCTAGATACATAATTCAGATATTGATGGAGACATAGCACTAGAGAGGGGAGTTTCTATTCTTTCCTGTTTATCTAAGAAAAAAAATGTACCTTATATACAACAAAGATTTGAACAGCCAACACTGGCTATAGCAATGACCTATGACTGTGAAGACATGAGTTCAAATCCCGTATTTCAAGATCACTGGGCAACCTCAGGCAGTTATTCTCTCTGAGTGTAAAGTACCTCACATGGTTGTTGTGAGAGACAGTGGTTTTCCACATGTGCTATTTCCTTCCTTTTCCCCCCTACTGCATTCCCCCCTTTTCTGCATGTGTTTTGTTTCCTCTAGTGGACACTTCCATATTTCATTGCTGTATCTCTGGTACCGTGCCTGTAAATAAGCTGGAGATACCGTGATGATATATTGAAGTGACCACTAGAGGGAGCAAAACACGTGTGGAAAAGGAGGGGGGGAAATCCTGATACAGTTCAGGCACACAAACAACAAAAATAAGACAGGCAGAAAAGCCACAGTACATTGCCCTGAGCTCCTGGGAAGATGATTTGGATGATCATGAATAAATCAATAAATCCCTGCTGGCATTCAAGCTATTGGTGCTGGAAGGTAGAAAATACTGATACAGACATTTCTTTGGAAAGGAAACCGTCTGAGTTAGTTATGCATTTAACAACTGGGGATCAACTTACACGATTTTTCTTCTTTAATCTTGTACTCCACCACTTCAGATGCCTCTGCCTGGGCTGGGAAATGAACCGAGAGAAAGAGGTTTTTCAGGGTCTCATCTTTCCTAACAATGAATATCTAAACGGAGAAAAGAGGATGTGTGAAATGATAAGGTAATTATTTAAAAGGGCCATTTATAACCTGTTGAACAATAATTGTAAGAACTGAGTCAAAATTTTATAATGCAATTACACTTTCCTCAAAAATACTGCTGCAGCAAATCTATGTTCGTATAATAAACCTCAACAATTGGGGGGGGGGGAACTGATATATTTCTCCACACACCCAGAGTCCACCGTAGAACTGCTATTTGTCCCTCAGCTTTAAACATACAAATTGCTTTATGCTGTGTGTATGTTTCCCCCAACAGGGCAAATAACAGCTCCTGGAGGGGCTGTTTGAGGTCCAGAAAATAGCATGAGGGAGAAAGTTAAAAACCTCTTCTACACCATGAGTTTGACCTGAATTCCGCCTCCCGGCTGCTATTGAACAATAAAATGAATATCAAATAGCAAAGTGTTAATTTCTTGATAACAGGAAGTGAAACACCATGTCTGGTAGCTGTGACATTATGAGGGATCTATCTGAGAGAGGAATCTCAGGTAATTTCACATATTTGCGATTTAGTTTGGGTCAAGTTGGCCCAGGTAGGCCAGAACATGACAATAAGGACATAATAATTCAAGAAGAGCCCTGCTAGATGTAACTGAGGGTCCAGGTGCCTCTGGAAAGCCAACAAACGGGACATGAAAACAACGGACTCATCCATTCTGTCTCATCTTATATGGTGTACTGCCTCCGAGCATAGCTCTCTCATGTCTAATAGGCACTGCTGTGTCGATTCTTCATGAATTTCTCTCTACCCTCCTTTAAAGATATCTCAGGGCCAAAACAGACGTGACACTGGAAATCCATGTTAAGGTCCCCGGATGTGAAAATGAACTGCCAAAAGTAGCCGCATGGTCATCAAATCTAGATCAGGGCTGCAGCACTGGGGGGGAGGGGGTTGTTAACTCCCCCACATACCATCTCCCTGTTTGGCAATGCTTCCCCTGGATGCTCTAAGTGCTGAGAGGGTAAAAGACAGCAGCGGTTCATATACCTGCCTTTTTTCTGTCTGCAGCTTAATGCTCTTGGGGAGGGATTTCCAAAGGGGGTAATGACACGTGAGGGAGGGTCCCCATGGCTGCTCAGTTTTGTACATGGGGGATCTGAAAATGGATTCCCAGCAACATGTCTATTTTGGCCACAAGCTAGAGGCCATCAACATATCCTGTGGCAATGAATTCTATAGGTTAACTCTCCAGTGTATGAAATAATGTTTCCTTTCCTCTGTTCGGAACTTACCACTAATTATTTCCATTGGATGACCCTAAGTTCTAGTATTGTGAGGTGGGGGGAAATCTTTTTGCTTCCTCCTCCATTCCATTCATAATTGCATGTGTTTCCCCCAACCAACTAGTCCTTTTCTAAATAAAAGTCTTCCCCCCCACACACACACACACTTTAATCATTCCTCATACGAAAGCGGCTCCCCTGCCTTGATCATGGAAACTCTAGTTGGCTCTCACTTCCTTCTACCCATTATAATATGTATCTTGAACCCTTGAACCCGCCTTATACTGAGTCAGTCCGCTGTCAGTGTCAATACCGGCTAAACTAACTGGCAGCAGTTCTCCGGGGTCTCAGGCAGAAGTCTTCCACATCACCCACTACCTGATCCTTTATAAACTGGAGATTTTTACACCAGTGTTGCATTCTGATATGGCAGAACAACTGCTGGGGAATGCTGGGGGAAAGAAATCAAAGCTGAATTTATCTTGTCATCCATCTGTCTGTCTGTGATGCCCTCCTCACACTGACTCCTGAAACTGCCTTACACTGAATCGGACCCTCAGGTCCACCAAGGTCAGCACTTTCTACTCAGACTGACAGTGGCTCTCCAAGGTCCCAGGCAGAGGGTCTTCCACATCACCTGCTACTCGATCCGTTTAACTTGAGATGCCAGGGATGAATTCTTTACCTTTAAATTACCTCCCCCTCCTTCTACAGCCATGCTAACACCCCCACAAAAGCTTGAGGAAGTGACAGTAATGGGAAGGGGAGGGGGACAAAAATAAAAGTCAACCATCCCTCTCTTTAAGAGTTTGATTCAATCTCAAGCCTTTAAGGGGGGGAACATTCTAGCCCAACAAATTATCTCCCCCCCACCCGCAGGGAGCAAGAAACATTACTGTCTGAGAGGTGCAGCAGACATACCCCTGCTGGTTCCTTGCAGAGCAGCTCAGCAGTCCTTTCCCAAGTGATGCTCAGATGAAGCCAAGCTGGGCAGGTTTTGATGAGCTTCTCAAGGAGACTGATGCCTGGAGGGGAACAGCAATTCCACTGAGCAGTAGGCTGGCCCAGCGGGGTCTTAGTCTCTTCTTCTTCGCCAGTGTCTGTAATAGGCCTGCCAAACAAACCCATAAATCCTTAGGAGACAGCCATGTTGTCAGGATTTGTGTCGTTCCCTGGCAATGTATAACCGGTCGCCGTGTTGGGAGTCTTTCAGAGTCAGAAACAAACACCTCAGAATCGGACAGGCTGGATGTTGCACCACACGCCAGACCTTGTCCTCAGCCGAATCGATTTCCCTCTCTCTGTGCGTTTTCTCGATTCTCTGAATTCCTCCCCAGTGTTTCTTGTGTCCTCCTTTTTATTGCTTGTGTTGCTTGTTACAGTAATCGAACACACCCGGTGCTTCCCTGAAACCTCGGCCCCAATCACCCTCCCGGTTCCACGTGTTTCCCTTAACTTCCTTAACTTTCTGAGACTCGGGGTGTATAGCGGAAGCGTCTGTCTCCCCGGCCTCTGCGGTAGTGCCCGCGGTACCACCCGGCAGGAAAGGTAAGACCCCCCTGTCTCTCACTCGAGCCCCCCCCCCCATCTCGCTGTGGCTTCGGAACATAGGCGTCCCCGTCCCCAAGGCTGTTCCCAAGGCTCCGTCCCTGTCAAAGAGCTCGGCGCGGGACGCACCAGTCCCGCCGCAGCGGCCGATATGGCCGCGGAAGAACCCGCGGCGGGACACATGTCAATTGCTATTGAGCAGAGAAATGTATGTCAGTTGTGGCAAGAACACTGTAATTTAGCTAGAACTCAGCTTAGATGTGCCCACTTCACATCCTTCAATAGCTGAGCTTGATTTGTCAAGAAACAAACAGAAACAGGCTTCTTCCCCATTCTGGGCCTGTTCTTACCCAAGTGCATAAGGAACTGCAGCAGGCCATCTGTAATTCCCCTTCCTACCTTGGTGACTGAGGAAGAACAGAGTACGGAAAAGATCAAACTGAGAGGAATAACAAAAGAGCTCCTTCAAAATCATGTCCAGCTGCCAGATCAACCTGAGACCTAAGCAAAACTCTGTGCGTGTGTGTTTGTCTGTAAGAAGGAAGAGGAAGTGATGCGGAGGTGTTCTCCATTACCTCATATGCTTTGTACTGAAAGATGGTTTGGGGATACATTGTGAGAGGAACAAGGAGGATCTGAGCAAGTGTAAGCGGAGTTATGAGAAGGCTGTGCTCGGCCACAAACCCTGTTTTCAGTAATGGCCTGTGCACTGTGCGTACATGAGGGGGACTGGAGTTCATATTCAGGAAAGAGTGGGCTCAGAATACAGGTTCATTGCCCATACTTGGTGTTCACTGCTGCCTATGGCCCAACAGAGATGAATCTGCCTTGCAGTGCACTAGACCACTGGTCTATGAAGGGGTGGGGGGATCCCCCAACACCAGTGGGCGATTCCCACTGCTGCTCAGCTGGGTGGCAAAAAATGGCGCCAAAATATGGGGGTGAACATCAAAAGCATCCCAAAGTGCTGATATCCCTCCCTGCGCATCCAGAAGTGAAGTCACCACGTCACTGGGGGATGCCCCGGCATTTGCGTAAAACATTATGGTTTAACTGTAAAGTTCTACCCAAAGGGCATAGTATCCTTTGCGCCCCCCAGCAATGCACTGACATCACTTCCGGTGCACACGGTCAGTGTTGTCTGCTCTTCCTGGCAGTGGCTCTCCGGGGTCTCAGGCAGAGGTCTCTCCCATCACCTGTGACCTCACCCCTATTATCTATATCTTTAGAAAATGCCTTTTGCAGGAAATCTACCTGAGGTGACTTTTAACTAAAGATGCTAAGGATTAGAACCTGGAATTTTCTGCACGTAAACCAGACACTGTACCACTGAGCAGCGTTCCCTCTAAGCTGAGTTAGTGTGAGTTAGCTCACAGTTTTTTAGCCTCTGGCTCACACCTTTTTGTCTTCGCTCAGGAAGGGATGGCGCCAGAGCAAACTAATTTATGCAGTAGCCAAATCGCTTGCTCACAACTTTAAGGCCAGTGGCTCACAAAGTAGAATTTTTGCTCACAAGACTCCACAGCTTAGAGGAAGCATTGCCGCTGAGCCATATTCACTAACCCTCAAAGACAGGCAGCATTACAGAGCATGGACAGGAAGGTATTTGGCATTCCAACACTACCATCTACATATGGCCCCCTGTTCCCATCTCTGGTAAGGGTACACACCTTTCTTCTTTCTTTTTTGAAATTTAATTTTCATTTCACTATTCCATTGCATTTCCCATTCGTTTAATTTATAATTAAAACCTTTTTTGTTTTGTTTTCCATACACTCTAGATTATAATCTCTGTATCCCACTGAACCTTCCCTGCCAAATGTTCTGCTCATAGAGGAAACAGTCTTGGTTTTACTAACAATTAAAGGCAAGATACATTTATGGCTGTTACATCTTTGTTTCCCAGGTTTCTAAATAAGATTATCCCCAAAACTGTACCCTTCACTGAAGGGGTTGCCCCTGCCGTATTTCAAGGAAACAGAAGAAAGGGTTCCACTTCGGGTTGCCGGGTTCAGCCACCGGTTGGGTTCAGTTTTAAGGTCAATTAAAATGTTAACTTGTAGAGCAGGAAGAGCTGGATGTTTGATGTTATCAGTATTAGACTGCTTGAACAGAAAGGTATTTGGCGCCCCAAGGAAGGAAGGAAGGAAGGCAGGCAGAATGGCAAATGGGACAAAGGGAGACATTTGGCATCCCAAGAAAGACACACAGCAGGACAGAAAAGGCACAGAAGTTTGTATCGGTCATCCCAAGAAAGGTAGGCTGCAGAGCAGGCAGCAGAGCTGGCGTTTGGTACCACTGAGCAGGGCAAGCAGCAGAGAGAGCAAAGCTGGCCCTTGAGTGCCACAAGAAAAATGGATCAGGGCAGGCTTTTAAAATATATAAAGCTGTTTATTGAATGGGGTGGGTTGGAGCAAGGAGCAGATGAATGTCTGAGGGAGAAGTAGGTGGCTGGCTGAATTCCAGAAAGAGCTACTGACAACTTAGGTGATCACAGCTTACTAAAAGGTAGAAGGAAAGGAAACAGAGTCAAGGTCAATCGTAGGACAATAAAGAACTGTCTCTCTTAATGAGAACTTCGAGAAGGAGAGACAACCCCCCCCCCCCCAAAACAGCATCACTCTGGCTTGCTTCAGGATGGGATTTCATTGTCTCCACTGTCTGTAAATCTATACATAAACCCATTATTCCCTCAAAAATAAAAGGTATCCACGCTGGTATCTAACTGTATTTTCCAAATACATCATGGAGGACAGGTTACAGCAAGTCGGAACTTAATCAAACAAATGTGTTGTTGAGTCCCTATAGAGGCTCCGCGTGAAGATCATTAACACTTTAAAAACAAACACTCAAATTGTTTTCTGTCTGTAAGACTTATTTGCAGATGCAAGGAGCAGGTGGAAAAGCCATTTGGAATGACTGACATTTTAAATTCCATTTTAAATTCCATCTCTGCCCGTTAAAGCAAGAGAAACAGCTTAACAGATGGATGGCTAACAGTGCACAGTGTGCGCAAGTACATGCATGACAGCCCCAGGCAGAGGATCAAGAGGGGGACGTTTAGATCAGAGAAGTATGGAGAGTGGATGATCAGCCCTTTCCATGGCTACTATTTCCCTCCTCAGCTGTTGGTCCATTCATGAGGATCAAAAGCAAACACACATTTTGGAGAGAAAGTAAGTTGGGATGCTATCTGGAGCAGAGTAACAGGGGTTGGCTGGGAGAGTAGCCCCTCTCCCTCCCCTATGTCTTCACTCCAAATTCCCCCTTTTGAAGTTGCTTCGTAAAAGTGGCACTGGAACTGTAATTTGTGTACTTCATGTAATGTATAGTAATAGGGTTACCAACCTCCAGGTTGCACCTGAAGATCTCCCACTATTGCAATTTATCTCCAGATGACCAAGATCAGTTCCGCTGGAGAAATTGGCTGCTTTGGAGGGTGGACTCTATGGCATTATGCCCTGCTGAGGTCCCTCCCCACCAACTCCCGCCGTCCTCAGGCCCCCACCCCCAAAATCTCCCAACCCTACATAGTAAGCCCCTCATAATTATTCTTAAGTAGCAGTCCAGTAATTGGGACTGGGCTAAAGTACTAAAAAGAGTAATAAAGGTACTACAGTGAGAAAGAAAGGTGGGAGACGGGTAATGAAGCCAAGGTGGCTGAACAAGGAACTCTCTGAAGAGCTGAGACTAAAAAGGGAAATGTACACGAAATGGAAGGAGGGACAAATCACTGAGGGTGAGTATAAGAAGCAGGCTCAAATCTGTAGGGATGGTGTCAGAAAGGCTAAAGCGCAGATGGAGCTGAGGCTTGCAAGGGATGCTAAAAATAACAAGAAGGGTTTCTACGCCTACGTTCGGAGCAAAAAGAAGAACAGGGATGGGGTAAACTCATTGCTAGGGGAAGACGGTCAAGCCTTAACAAGGGATGAAGACAAAGTGGAATTACTTAACTCTCACATTGTGTTGGTCTTTAATCGTAAGGAGAGCTGTATACAAACTGAAGAATGCAGGGCATATGAAGGGAGGAGGAACTGTCAGTCCAGAGTAAGTAAGGAGATGGTTAGAGAACATCTAGCTGCCTTAAATACTTTCAAATCTCCAGGGCTGGATGGCTTGCATCCCAGGGTGCTAAAAGAAATTGCAGGTGTTATTTCAGAGCCTCTGGCACTAATCTTTGAGATTTCCTGGAGTACTGGTGTTGTGCCGGAAGACTGGAGAAGGGCAAATGTTGTCCCAATCTTCAAGAAGGGAAAAAAGACAGACCCAGAATATTACAGGCCTCTCAGTTTGACATCAATACTTGGAAAAATTCTAGAGCAGTTTATTAAATGTTCTGTCTGTGAGCACCTTGAACGGAATGAGTTAATTGGTAGTAGCCAGCATGGGTTTATCAAGAATAAGTCATGCCAGACCAACCTTATCTCCTTTTTTGACAGAGTTACTAAAATGGTTGACTCTGGCAATGCTGTGGACACAGTGTATCTAGATTTCAGTAAAGCATTTGACAAAGTTTCTTATGATATCCTTGAGGATAAGAACATAAGAACATAAGAGATGCCAATGTTGGATCAGGCCAAAGGCCCATCCAGTCCAACACTGTGTCACACAGTGGCCAGGAATACCAGTGCCATCAGGAGGTCCACCAGTGGGGCCAGGACATTAGAAGCCCTCCCACTGTTGACCCCACCAAGCACCAAGAAGACAGAGCATCACTTGCCCCAGAGCCCCTATCTATACCTTGTGGCTAATAGCCACTGATGGACCTCTGCTCCATATGCTTATCTAATTCCCCTTTGAAGCCGTCCATGCTTGTAGCCGCCACCACTTCCTGTGGCAGTGAATTCCATGTGTTAATCACTCTTTGGGTGAAGAAGTACTTCCTTTTATCCGTTCTAACCCGACCGCTCAGCAATTTCATGGAGTGCCCACGAGTTCTTGTATTGTGAGAAAGGGAGAAAAGTACCTCTTTCTCTACCTGCTCTATCCCATGCATAATCTTATAAACCTCAATCATGTCTCCCCTCAGTCATCGTTTCTCCAAGCTAAAGAGCCCTAAGCGCTTTAACCTTTCATCATAGGGAAAGTGTTCCAACCCTTTTATCATTCGAGTTGCCC